CCCTGCTGCCGCCCGCGGGCGCCGGGAGCCGCCGGCCGAGACGGAGGATACGGGAATCAAGGTGACGTTCACGGCCACCTTTCAGTTCCCAGATTTTGTGGCAACTGGCAACCCCCTTCAGCTGACAAAATTAAAAACAGTTTCCAGAAGAAAACAGCCACGATTACTACACAGCCAGTCGGCCACTGTGGGCAGGGGGCACAGGGACTCGGATCCACAACTACGGAATTCAGAAATGACAACTGCAGTTTTTCATTCTTCATCGTGGAAAACCAATCAAAACATTTTCAGTCCTTAAAATCAGGATAGCCTTTCAGCTGGGAGTTGATGCAGTACTGAATGTGTATGCTTATCATCAGCAGAACACCACTGCAGCCAAGCAAATTATTTTTAGTTCATGTTAGCAGGAGCTGCTGCGCAATACCCAATCACGTGCTAACAACAACAACATCTTACAATTGGTAACGTTAAAACTACTGTAAGGTTCAATGGTTTATAATAAGAAATACTGAATACAAAAAGTACATAATTTGTATAAATACTTCTGAGGAAGGCTGAAGTTAAAAGATAGCAGATGGAAGAGGCCTGGTGCAATACTCTAGAAAAGCAATAATGTATTTTTCTATACATGCTGTATTAAAATGGCAAACATAAGTGTATTCATGACTCAGCTTATTTGAAATACTTCTAGGATGGGTCACAACAACTGTTACTTTTGTCCAAATCTCAGTGGGTTAGCTGTAATTAAATGTATTCATTAGGACTAAATATTAGCTTCGATCCTGCATTAAAGGAAGTGTCTTAGCAGCATTCACATTATTATCTGACAAAGTATACCTAGCACTCCACATCCTGCTAAGGAGTAGAGAGAATATGCTATCCAGTCACATGCAGGGAAAAAAAAAAAAAGAAAAAAAAAAGCTACTTTACCAAATCTCTCTCTGCTTCCACTAGATCCCACTGTCTTCCTGCTATCTTCTTCCTATACTTCAAGTATCAGATTCCCTCAAGAATTTCTGCAGAGGGACAAATGCAAGGAAAACTAGCATTGGCTTTGCTACATTAACCAGTTTTGCCTCTTCAGTTTTACAGAGCTAAAAGTTACAAAAATCCCCCTTAGGTACCTTCATACCAAAGCAATTAAACTGTTAAAACACTGTGGTTCAAAAGAAGTGAAATCGGTGAGGGATGTGTACAATTGTGTAATAGTATAGTCTAATCTACTCTAGAGCTTTTACCACAGTAAGTTAGTAAACAACGTTATCTGTTATACTGATAACTCTGCAAACTTTTTACAAAAACTAAAACATTAAAGATAGATCAGGCCACAGTTGATGGTATGGCACACCCAAAGGCGTATTTGGGCCATCACAGCCGCATGTGCGGAGCGGATGTTGTTTCACAGCAAGGCAAACTAGCCTTTAGGAAGTCTCATGCTCCCGCTGGGCAGATCACTAACAAGCACCCAAGCTCGCTAGTTTAATACTACCTTCTGCATCTTTATATTGTACTGATAACATTCCTGTGACTAGTGTGGATTCGTCTCTTGCATTTTAAGGATACGGAGGTTACGATACACAGTAAGATAATCAATCTTCAATTGAAAAAGAGGGTTATATTTTGCTACATTATAAGCAGGATGTGAAAAAAAAAGGGAAGAAAAAAAAAAAAAGCAGTATTTGCCAGTCTAGGAAGGATTTCAGAGCCTTAAATACATTCACTTCAGCTTGCTACGTGGACATATGCCTAAACACATCAAATCCCCGACAGCAGGACTTCTATAGGGCACGTAGTATGCACTGCTTTTATACTGGATTTGCAGCAAATTCTGGGCATACACACAAAACATGTACAGATACCTCGGGAACTGGAGGCATTTTCTGTTTACAACAAAAACAAGTGTTCACGGGCAAAGCAGCAGTATTTACCAACTGTATAGAAAATCAGCATTCATGAGTGAGCATGAATCAGTCTGAAAGCTGAGTCAGACGAATCCTGTGCTTTTCCTAGTTACAGTCATGTCAGTAATTACACATCCCTTTTCCTCTGTCTTATGTGAAAAATCTGTTTTGAGCCAAACAGTATCTGCAGAATTATGTTAAACAACATTTAGCAACTTTTTTCTTACTACAAGAGTCAAACACACTACTCAAATGAAAGAGCGGCATAAATTACTTTAAAAAAATATTTTGTTTCACACCTGCCAAGTTTTTTCCAAAAAATATTTTTATGAAGTCTAGAAGATTCCAGAGATCATTACCTCAACTGCTTTTTTTTGTTTTGTTTTGTTTTTGCAGCTTTTGGCATTCTTTGCAACAGCCATAGAACAGTTCTCTCCCTTTAAAAAATTCACACAAGACACAAAGATTGTGCTCAACAGGTTTACTCAGACTGGACTCTTAAATGCTCAAGAAAAAGGCACAGATTAAAAGAGACTCTGATGACTCTCTTGAACACAGCAAATGGGGTTTTGTTTATAAGAAAAAAAATACTGCTATGAATCATATGGGCTGAAAAATTCAAATATTTCTCCCTGGTCCTAATTATTGGCCTTCATTAAAATGGAATTAAATTAAATTGTATAAACATATGAAATAAAGTCTCAGTATTAGGAAGTTTTTCTTTTGTTTCCTCTATGTACAAACTTTAGTATACAATTTTCACTTTTCATTATACATTTACTACATACTCTTTTCCAAACTGAGTCAGAGCAACTGCAAAGTATATGTTTAAAGAAAGCACACTGCAGTCGGGAAGAATCCACCTGCTTTCCTTGCCAGCAGAGCCAATCAGAATTTAGGAAGAGATGACTGGTTAGGCGGGAGAGCCATTCAAATGTAATCATCTTCTACTGGTTCACCGTTGACATCACAGTAATGGATGAAGATAGCGACAACACGCTGGAATACACCTTTTTTCATCTGGCGCAGTTCAGAGATCTCTTCTCCTATTGTCTCCATACAGATGTCTGCAGACAGCTGTCCTTTCCTCCGGGGAGCATAAATAGTAGCTGTGGAAGGCACAAGAGAATAAAAATTACAGTCTTTCCTAGAAAGAAACTCACAAATGAATCTGTTTTGCAGTAAAGGAGCTGGTTTTCTAAAACAAAGCAAATAAATAACATGAAAGCACATCCGATAAGTCAGATAAGTAAGAATACATATCCATCTTTTTTTAATTCAGACTATGCACTAAACTACAATGACTTACTCTGGGTCAACATCAAAAAAAAGTCACAGAAGTGCATAGCCAAGAGAGACTTCCTCCTCGTCCTCTTGAGCTTCATCCCCCTCAAACTGGAGCTAAGGAAGTATATCTGCAAGCATGCCTATCAAAAGTCTGTCCCATTTAACAAATACCTCTGATGAAAGAGATTCCAAGATCTTCCCAGTTAAGTACTTGAAAAACCTATTTATCCCTGCTACCAACAAAGCTAATCACTTCCCACTCGAGCCCTAGCAACTGACCACTACAATATTTTCAAGGAAAGCTCCTTAATAGACCCTGAATCCTAGCCCTAGGCCTTCTCTGTTCCACCGTATTCAAATCCAGTTCTTTCCTCTTTTCTCCCAAGGTTCTGTGAATCTCATTCCTCTCTGCTGGACTCTTCAGCTTGCCTTAATAGCACTTCTAAAAGCAAAGCTAGAGGCAGTACTCCAACTGAGTCCTTATCCAAAACGCCAGTGAACTCCAGAGACCACGAAGTGCTGGGAATACACATGGGCTTACTAGATGCCAAAACGTGCATGTTGTAACATTAATTTTATACACGTGTTTTAGATATATTCCTTACAGCTAAAATAGTAAGCTTTGTCTTCCTACCTGTCCACACTATGAAATACAACTGCACAGGATGCATTTTGTTAAGATTACCCACATACTAATTCTCCCAAGTGCAAGTTGGTAAGGATCATTCTTGTGATTATGACTGAATTTTAGGCTAAGCACCCAACTGGCTCTCTGATTTTGTCAGCGTTAAGCATCTCCAGATGATCACTGCACTACTACAGTCCTCTCCTCCGATGGACCGCCTCCTTGTCCAGCTCCCAACACTGTTATAAACAGCTACTTATCAAAAATAGTTTAAGAATTAGAAAATTGAAAAATAAAGGAACATATCGTTATCTTGCAACCAAGCACCAAGTTGAAGCTCTTTGAATAACGTCAAAGACTACTCACTTCTCTCATCGTCCTCAAAATCATATCTGGCATAGCTATTTGGCTCCGCTGTTCTAAGTGACCTCAACCATGGGAAGTCAGTAATCATGGAATAAGGGGCTCCATCCACAATGCCTAGAAGACAGACAAGGCGAGGATACATGGAGGACGATGTTAACCCTGCAGCATCAGCACTCTTCATCAATCATTACTGTTATTATACAGGTCCTGACTTTAATGCAGAAAAAGTACTTTCTCAGTTCAACTCCTCCACTCTATGCCAAAGGTCTTCCACTTCTCTCAGAAGAATTATTATTTATGTCTCTTGCAGCTTGATGAAATCAGTCATTTATTTTAGCAAGAGACAGATTATCAGCCTTCAAATCTCTGCAAAAGCTCACCTTCTAGAGTGTAAATATCTCTTCCCCAAGGGTACTTAGTGTATTTCTTCAGGTCTTCATCAGTTCGTGTAGCTTCAGGGAAGAACTCATATTTAATAAGCTCTCTAGAGACAAAGAGAGAAACATTAGAGCCAGTAGAGATAAGAAACGTGATGGGTGGAGGGAGAAGAAACAAGTGGAAAATTTTATTACACAACCTTTCCTTTAATGAGCCTGAATCCACAGAAATGCTCCTCTAAGACCCTCATGCAACCTCAGTATGCAATCCCTTACTCTTGAGAGTAACCATAGAGAACAGGCAAGGTTAGGCAAGAAACCAATTAAGCTCTCTTTTATCCATAGCCTCCTGTCTGAGGGAACAATCCACCACAGCTGCAACTAAGTAAAACTTTTTTTTTTTTTAATCATTCTTTAATTACTTTAATTAAAAAAAAAAGAGAGAACAGAAACACTGTTTTAAGTAGTTGGATAAGAGTCACTGTATACAATTCACTGCTCCCAGGAATTTTTGCTCTTCACTAAAGAAGCTGAAATCGATTACACGTCTTTCCCAGAAAACAGCATTATTTCTTGGGAGCCAGTCTCTCTCTATTTTAATAAGTGAAACTTGTTTTTTGATTTGAAGACATTCCTCAGCCATCCTAACTACTTCAACATTCAATTACGTTACTGCAGTACGGAACAGAGCTGTAGAATTTTATCATATTTTTCATACTGTTAGGTTTATTTAATCTAAAAGTTTTATGTTAGATGCCCCTCGATATTGAAATTCTACCACCCCGGCCCACCATTTAGAATTCAACCATCGCAGCCAACCAACCAAGCTGTTTATCTGGCTAACAGAATACAGCAACTGTAGCTTCTGAATCAGGATTCAGTACCTTTTCTGTACAGCTACTGAAAGACAAGTACTCACTGGTTAATATTTGCTATTGTGTCCATCCAACTCCGAACGCGCACCTTGTTGCGGACATTAGGTGGATTACTGAATTCATGAATTATGCAAATGTGGTATGGATAAGGGCCACTAAATATCTTTTGCTCTAGAGTCAATGTGTCAACCTGTAAAAGAAGGCAGACGGACTTGCAACCAAGAGAAAGGTAGGGATGGAGTTTTAGAGTCAAGAGGAGATATCTACCAAAACCCTCAAATTCTGAGGCAAAATGGCGAGAGAAAGCAAGTTTTAACAGCATACATAATCAAATACACAACTGAGCAGAGTTAAACTTTCCTTGTACAGCTTTGCCAGTGAATCCTAATTTAGATGGAGGAATTTTTTGGGAAACTGCAATTTTTCTGACACATTTTGCAATTCTGTAACATGTCAACAAACGTTTTAAAGAAAAGCTAGTGTTTATACTAAATCAGCCCTCCATTGCTGGAGGGCAAACTAAGCCACAGAAAGCATTACTTCGAATGACAGAAGCAGCATTACAGAATAACATAGAACACCAGTTAAGAGTGACAAAGTCAACAATGCATTCTGGATCTTACATTAAGTTCTCTTATCGTTTGTTGAACGTCCTCAACAAGCGACTAAATGTTAATGCTCGCTTCTCCTACAGTTAGTCTTGGAGGTGGAGAGGGTGGCTCCCAGTGCCGCAACTACACTGTGGGACTGGCTAGCATCAGTCAAAAGAGTAGCTTTCAGTAAAGTAGTATTTAAAATATTGTGTTACTAAATCTAGAAGGACATGGTTCAAAGACTTCAGATACCTATTCCTATGTCATGTTTGTCATTATACACAAATATAAACTGTGTTAGCAGCATCTAGGTTCTTATAGTTACCTTTAGGTATTTAATTTAGAACTAATTCAACACAACATGAATTTGCACAATATCTTCTAATGCAATGAATATTGGAGATTATAACATTAAGTCTTTAACATTCATTACCATTCAAATTCCAGATTCTGCAACAAAAGCCTTCGTGGGATATGGTTTCAATAAATTAATTTCCCTGAGTTGTGTTACTGTAACATTTACATTTCCCACATTAAATGAAAAATGTATGAAGCCAAAGGAAGTGAAAGAATGCTAGCAGAACTTCAGATGTGTTCATGATTAAACGAGAGCTAGCTGTGTACCTGCTGCATTGGACGAAGATAAATGATCCGGTTCCTTTCTGGCGGCATTCTGAGAATCTGATCCAGAACCTGATCCATGTTTAACTTCTTGCACTGGGCATAGTCAAACCGATTGACAACTGGTGCATTTTCTACTTTCAAGTGCTTCAGTACACGGCACCTTGTAGCTATAAATCAGCAAATAAAATCATTAAAGCACAGAGAAATGTAATACAGAAAAGATCTGGAGAGCCTCCTTTCAGAGATTTTCAAAGCAGACTGCTTCAGAAGAAAGAAAATCAGTAATTCAAGTAAAAAAAAAAAAAAACAATTAACTAGTTTGGACAGCTGGCAACTTAAATATATTGAAAAAATACACTGACTGTTCATTTCTTCCACATAACGATCAAAGTTCTCACTTGTGAACCTCTAAGAGGAGTTCTTTTAGGAAGTTATGCTAAATATAATCTGAGCAACAGAAAGAATTTTCCCTTTGCTTCCTTTTACAAAGCCCCTTGAAATAGCTGGTGGATCCCCACAATTAAAAACCACTGACTTAAAAATCAGTTCAAAGAGTACTGTGAAACCACATGATAAAAAAGAGAGCTGCTTCCTTTCTCGTAACCTACGTCCGTATCATCAAAATTTAGTTAAAAATAAATGTATGTTCTGAGAAGTACTTTGGAATATAAAAAGGAATACTTTCATCATTCTCTGCTAAGTCTTCACATGAGATAGTTAGAAGGGGACGTGCTACTTCGTGTAGATGTTGCAGGAAACAATAAATGACCCAGTGCTTCAAAATGCAACTCGTCATGCGCCCTGGAACACCAGTCTAAGGCAGCTTAAATGCCATAACTTAAAATAGATTTTTATCATGTCAAGAAGGAAGATATCATTCTGTCAGCTAAATAATCTACAGAAGCAGGAAGAAATAAGAGAATAAATAAGGTGCTCGAAAACTCATTTCATCAACTTCCAATTATTGCATTACAGTCCTTCAATAACCATCTCTCCCTTAGTAATTGTCATATAATTTCATCTGCTGATTTTTCAGATATTAATCTTTATTAAATCAGTTACCGCTTATAAAGAAAGTGAAATTGAGAAGCACTAATACTTGGTGTTCTAAGCATCAGTCTGATGAACACAAAATAAGGAGCAGACCAACTTTAATTATTTCAGAAACTTTTAATGATCCTAGACGGAAAGGAGGTATCAAATGTTTAAGGAAACAGAGTAGAAAGCCTTGACAGGCTACGTGTCTTGGTGACGTTAATTACATACCATGTATGAACATCATTTTTGGGCAGTCTTTCAGTACCAAGTCTGTTATTCCACAGTTGGTCAAGGTGATTCCAACAAGATTTTTAGATTTCAAAGTCAGGACCTGGTGAAAATTAAAAAACCAAAGCAAAATAAGAACACACCACCTATGAGAGGGTAAAATAAAGGGAAAAGCTAAATTTAAAGAGATACTGCCAATAATGAAAATAACTGCTGTTAAAAACAACAGGAGGGTATTAATAGGATACTAATCAATACACTACAGCTTCTGTTCACAGGTATTTGAGATGACTAGGCTATTGCTGGCAGTGAGAGAAAAAGGCTCCCTGCTGACCAGCAGCATCACAGAATACAAAAGGACAACTTCACAAGATAGTATCACAAAGCACAACTTTTAAAAAAAAAAAAAAAAACCACAACCCTAAGTACCACCTGCCAGGAACTTCAAACTCTACCATTTCAATTCTAGTTTTCAGGCGCAGCTAATCACAGTTTGAACTTCCCATACCCAATGCATTTCATCAATAAGGAGAGCCGGAAGTGAAACGTGTAACTTATTCAAAACTGTGTCCACTTTGTGTTAGAAAAATAAAACAACTTTGAGCTTTACAAGAGATGCAGAAGCAGAATCATTTCCAATAGCATGAACACAGGGAGAATGTAGTAAAAAAGAGCATTTCCTTGATTTCATATTTGAATTTTTCAAAGTTTTATCACTAAAAATCTCTAGCAAAATTTTGCAGCCCACGGATGAAGCTGATCAATTATACAGAGAAGACTACGCAGTGCTACCTAAACAAGCAAGTAAACACACCCAAAGAGAGAAAAGCAGCATTTTGTGAAAGGTTCTTTCAGTTTCAGCTACTTAGGATGTAACTCATAACCACAGATATTAAAAAACAAACAAAAAAAACCAATGTTCTTTCAAAAATGGTACATTTTAACAAGAAAAATCATACACTCAGAAACGTCTCTTATGCCAGTTATTAAAAAAAAAAAAAAACCCACTGTAATGCATCCTAATAACCAGAGAAAAAAAATATAGGCCACATTCACAAAAGCTGTCTAAAACTAGCGAGGCTAAGTTCTTTCACTTGACAGACAGAGAGAAAGAGAAATACACATATGCTCCTCTGCAACAGGATTCAAAAGAAGTCCAACCTAGCTATTCCGAGTCACACTCGGAAGGAATCTCTTGCTCAACTAGAACGAGAGCCTTGGGTAAGCACCCTCACTACAGTGAAACTAGACTTTGTGATTTCTCCTTCCATGACACACAGATGATTTGCTATGTCATAACACAGAGGCAATTACATACCACCCCTCAAAAAAAAAAAAAAAAAGTAACAACAAAAAACCCACCAGTAGCCTATGTCAAAGAATAAAAGTTTCCCCTGCGCCCCAAGAAAGGTGCTGTGTAAAGGCAGGACTTGATGCATCAGTGTAGCCACAAGCATCTGACAAGTCTTAGTAAGTACAGTTTTAGCTTGTACTTTGCTCTTCTCGGGCCAAAGTAGCACTGCACCTGAGAAAGAAATTTCCTGTGTATGCACAGGACCAAAAGAAAGCAGCAATTATCAGTTATAACTCAGCCAGCTCTACATCAAAGCAGCTTGTAGTAACTTATTGTTCACGAACTCCTGCAGCTCAGAAATCTGTAGCAGAAAAAGACCTTACTTGAACATGATCATCCTCAATAACTGGGTCACTTGTGCTTGTGGACTTGTCCGCTGTCCTTTTCCGCTTTGTACTTTGTCGCGGCTTTGGCTTGGCCACCTCTGGAAAGGTAAACAGAGGAAAGATTTTCTGTTTTTCTATCTCAGGAAAACAGTAGAGGCATTTCCTAGCTAATAATTCCAATAAGAGCACGCATTTGTTAAATAACTTAAATCAAAATACCTGCCTGGCTTGAAAACAATTGTGCATCTTTTCCAATACAAAAAACATTTTCAGTTTTGTTGCTCAAAATCATTCACGTGGAGTAAGCAGGGGGAGAGTGGTTAACAGATGAAAGCACAGGAACACTGAAACTACTAGTCCAACACCACTCAGCAAGACAGATGCAGAGCCAAGAAAGGAACAGATGCTGGATTGTTAGGTTACACTTGGTTCTCTACAACAAACAAAACACTCTTGACAAATACAAGAACCAAAATAGCTGTAATGTTTTAAATAATAGAAATAATCCCAAGTGACTTCAAAGTCTGCTTGTTGCAACTATCACTAAGTTTCTCCTGATGTTGTAAAGCATGCCCATATTTAAAATACTTTGAGGTCCCCAAGCTGCTTCTCACTGTTTCATGCACCAGTGCCATCAAATTCTTGCTGCATTTTAAAAGATAAGCTTTTGAAGACAAACGGTAATAGATGACTTCTTACACTGGGGAGAGGGGAAACCAACTAAAATTAGTTTTCTGTAACTAACATCTAAAAGATGAGCTATTTTAGGAAAAGGGAAATTTAAGCTTTTTCTTTTAAACAGATGGTATGTTTACAAAGATGCATAATCAAGACAAAAATACAAAACATTAGAGACAATATACTAACTAGTTTATGCTATGCTACCCTTAACATTAAAAATGACCCGTTTCCTATGTAACATCAAAATCCACCAATGCATACAAGCTCTTAATTGTAGCTGATGTTCACTAGGCCTGTGCAGTGCAGAATTCAGGATACTCCTTTAGGGGATCCACAGTTTGGAAAATGTAACATTAAGTAACCAATCTGTGCTACATATGCATCATCATCGAGTTTTTTGACAATTCCTAAAATTTCTACAGATAGTGAAATACTTCCTAGCTATGGCATAAGAGAAACATTTCAATTTTGTCTTGAATGGTTGAAGGCACACACCTAGATCAAGAAATCTTTACAGAAAGTTTAACATAACATGCTTTTTAACAAGTAAAAACCTTGCTTCACTACAAATGAGAACTAGAAGTCCAAATAAAAATGTCTCTTATAATAAAAAGTTAAGCTTGTATTTTTACTGAGGTATCATGCACTTCAACAGCCCTTTAGCCAGCTAGTCTGTGGTAACAACACTTTTAAAATTTCACTTTCTTTAATATTTCACTTGTCCCACTGCTTAATACGAAGGTATAACTTCAAGAAAAATAATTACTTCTATCATCAAACATAGGTTTCTTATAGAAGCCAGGAAACCAATGTCATTTATGCCAGAACAACAGAAAACAGTGATATTCGAGGCACATTTTTAGACCGTATATGGAAAAAACGTTTCCAATTCTGTAACAAAGTATTTGCAAGTTATACTCTAATTATAAACAACTAGTATCTTCCATCCTAGAGAAGAAAAAGCACTATAATGGCCAGGCAGAAGAAACTTCCCTGCTTTCTGTATGAAACAATGATTTACAAAACCAAAATGATGCATCAAATTTCATAACCTGACTCAAGCATCAGCCAATAGCTGACGCTTCAAAGAGGGAAAAACTGTACAAAGATGTACATGTAACTGTATGAAGCTGGGAAAAAAGTTCTGTCTTGAGTAGATAAACCAGCTTAAGGCTAAATATAGAAAATATAAAAACATTTTTCTCCATGAACAGAACAGATCTTGCTCTTGACTAACGACAGGAAGACAGAGCTACTCTCAGGATACCCTAATTTAATACCTAGATCTGACTTCCTTCATTTTATTTGTTGAGAGAGAGGGAATGCGAATAGAGTCTTCTCTTTTGTTTTTAGTAGATTAATTATCAGTCATTATGAGGTAAGTAAGAAAATACATATTTTAAATTTAATGAGAAAGACCATGTCATCAATGTGAGATGCATTTAGCTATGGAACAGCTTCCTAGGGGATTTAAGTTTCATTAACACTTGGGACATTAAGATAAACTGGAAAGACACTAGGAAATACTGTGTTTGAATCATTCCTTGTTAACAAATATGAGCCTGATTACTTCAGTTTTTTCCACCTCCAACACATACAGTTCTATGACTAGCCTGTTTAATTTTTCAGTTTCATTTTACTTGCCAGATATTCTCAAAGAATCCTGGATACATGAAGTAATCGTGAAAGGCGCTACATCAGACTAAGACGATTATTTTGACAAGGAAGTACATTAGGAAGAAACAGATGTCAGCAAGTTCCCTTCTTACCTCTCTTTTTCCCTGTCAACGTTTCTGGCTTCATTACAGCCGTTCAGAGGGTTTTTTTTGGTTTCATTGTTTGTATCTTGTTTTGTATCACTCTAATATAACTCTAATAAAAGGCAATTTTCAACAAGTTTGATGGTCATGCCTTTTCCACTTAGAAGTGGAACGCACTTCTGCAGTGTTACAACTCAATTATAATTATGCCTTTCTTTAATAACTGATACTTTACCAGCAAATAATTTTGCCCTCTTGCTAACATCTGAGCATACCTGCTGCCTTCTTCCTTTAAAAGGAAGAATTCTAATATGGGAGACAGCGTTACATTTGAATGAATAACAGTCTTCACAAGAAGGGAGACACTGTCAAAAGTAGTTGCATTTGGTTTTCACATGAGTAAACCAAACACTGTTTGGCAGATACGGATAACACGCACGCATACATATATTTGCGCAGAGAAAATAAGTCACTGGCACACTTTACAGAGATTTGTTAATTTACCTAGCTATGGCAGTGAAGTCAGACATTTCTGTTCCATCAATATGCTTACCTTGTAAAATATTAATTAATAACATTAATGTTTAACTTCATTAGTGCCTGTGGGTGTTGCTTTTATTCAATAGTTTCATGCCAGCACAGTAGTTTACTCAGAAATGAACATATGCTTATGGGTCATACCTGACTCTGACACCAGAGGGACATGGGACAGCTTGCTTCTAGCTCTTGTCAGCGGCCGGCGCGGATACTCTTCTTTATACTCCATCTCATAGCTCCTTGACTGTGAGCCAGTGCTTTCCTCCTCACCAGCAGGCCCACAAGCACTCCCACTAGTCCTCTCATCACTCGTCTCTACTGGAGACCCACAGTTTGGCAGAGTCCTAAGTGCAAAATCCGACCCAGTGCTGTTTGGTCCGCTTCTGCAGGCTCCACTCGTGGATGGGCATTCCCCATCACAACACCCACTAGTCCTCCGCTGCAAGTCCTGAGGCTTATAGCAGGAACACCTGGAACAAACAGAGCTCTCCTCAGTCTCTCTCTCACTGGAACCTTCACTCTTACAAGGCGAGCAAACACACTGCCTGGATCCATCAGCAATCGCTACACTGGTGCCAGCAGAGTAGCTATGAGCTGTCGGTGCACAGTCAGGGCTGGGAGAAGCAGCACTGCAGGAGGTGGATGTTCCTGTTGATCCTGTAGCATTACTGCAACCTGGGTAAGAATCTTTGCTTTTGTTCCTTTCAGGCATGTCACTTGCTGCTTTCATGTCTGCTTTAATCTGCTCACTTGTTACTTGACAGCCTTTCTCACAGCTGCTTTCCTCAGTATGGAACTGCTTTGTCTGGCCCGCTTGGCTGGCGCTACACCTCTTCCGCAAGGGCGTCTTGCCTTTACCACTCACTGTTAATGAAAGAGTTAAGCATAAGAGAACAATGGGATAATCTAATACACAGTTTAAACAAATGCTGAGTGCTACTCTGCTAGAGGCTGCTTAGAACAAGAGGCAGCCTAGAGGCCACTGACAAATCTCATGGGGACCATTTTAATACCACAACTCTGTCTGACGGTACGGGAATTAAAGATAATTCCAGCGACTGCCGGAATAACCTTTATGACGTCCTGAAGCTATTTTTGTAGTGATGTGCCGCTGTGTTTGCCAGTAAATGACATACATACGTATTCGCCAGAGAGGCTAACACTTCCATACAGCAGCTCATTGGTTAAAAAGGTCAAAGCACAAAAACATGAAATGAAAAACACACTGAAAATAGGCTTTCATGTTCTTAAATAAGAGGAACAAATCTGAGGAATTAAGTAGTAACATAGATGTGACTGAACTTTGTTTGCATTAGCAACCCTTAGTTCCTTTTCTAGGTATGAAAAATGGTGTGAATAGGTAGCACTAATCTCACTTTACAACTTCAACTTTACAGTTGAATTTAAAAAAAAAAAAATAGTGAATAGTGTCCAAATCATGATCAGAACTTAAATGCCTTCTCTGTTTTAATCCTCTCATCCAATTAAACTAAACATTAGCCAGGTAGCCTAAAAGAACATTAGAAGCACTACAAAAGTTTCCGAAATTAGCTTTTAGCTATGACAGGTTATTTCAACCCCAAACAAGAACTGACCTCACCTCTATAGCACAGCACTCTACAAGTTTCCAAGTTGAAACCAGTCTTGAAGTGTACCAAAATGACAGGGGGGTTGATGTGTAGGAAATATGCTAGTTACAAACAGAAATCTACTTATTTCATTACAGCTTTGATTTGCCCCAGGTTTTGCAGAAACGAAATTAGTATTAGCCCAGTAAGTTTCTCAGTCTTTCACAAAAGAGTAATTTTATGTTAACTGCTTAGCTAAATACTCATTAAGGCTTACTACTATGTGTACTTCCTCTGTCAGTTATTTAGAATTTATAATTCAACCTTGACTTCCTCCTCACTTGTGCACATTACTTAGATTACAAACTACAAGAAATAGTAAGCCATCTGTGTTGCTGGAAAGGCAGCCCTTCCTAGGGCATCTGATACAGGAGTCACACTTGGTATCATGAATGTACAGCTTATAGCTGTACATTCTACAAGAGAGAGAAAGCCTCTTCCTATGTCTCTCTACAGTTGTCATACTCTTTATTATGAAGACTCAAGCCTCTGACTCTGAAGGATGTCACTGAATAAACGTCCTTAAAGTATTCCCTTTGGGACACTCCTATAGGGACTGCACAAACCTAAAGATGGCCAGATCCCCTTGTGCATTTGCCCCAGAAATCACTGTATTAGCAGCAATGCTTTGACAAATGGATTACAGACAACATAGTTCCAAAACTGGCTTCATAAACTGTATGCACTTGCAAATACAGAACAGCTGCAGGTTTCCGCAATCACAGTAGTGCAGTACCACTATTTCTGACCTGCTTCCCTACAGTGACTACGTGATCATAGAGCTTAGAGAGATGTGCCCCCGTTCCAGCTTTATAACGGTAAGGAGGATGTTAGGGCAAACAAATAAGCATGCATTATACAAAGCTGGAAATAAAACCAAACTAGATTGTTTTCTAACCGGAAAACTGAAGCTTAAGAATAAATTCTGCCCAGCAGCACCCAGCCCTTACCCAACTCTTTCACACCTGAAGACTCTCTAGTTTCCCCTGGATCCCTGGCTTTGTCTTCTCCATCTGAGTAATTCTGCACAATGCTGTTAGTGATGCAGGCTCTTGAAGTCCCCATGTTTTCTTCCTCATCCTCACTGTCTGAATCATGGACAGTAATAGGCGCTGCTTTTACGACAGGCTGAATGCCACTTGGTCCTGAAAACAGTAGAAAAGTGCCAACAGTTCATACATAAAAAAGCCAAACAGGTATTAGAGCATCGAAGAACTAAAGAACTGCTTGGAAAAGTGACAAGAAGAGATGAATTTGGTTAAATTTAGCCACCTCCTTCAATTTAGCCATCTTTTCTGTGGATGCCTCATTAAAACCAAATACAGGAAGAGTAAAATCACCACATCTGAGCATTAAAATTATAGCATTCTAGCTTTTAGGGGGAATAGTGTGACAATAGAAGACAAAATATAGGCTTCTATAATGCTTTTCTGTTTCAGAATATCTTAACAGTTCTTCCGCAACAGCAAGAGTAACTGCAGAACTACTATAACCAGACTCTGAAACCTCCATCAAGGAGCCAGGAACGTTGGCCAGAACAACTGCAATTATCCTTCACCCACAAAAGTGGTAAGATCCTCTCTGAAGCACCAGTACAGTTGGGCAGGAAAAGGGCCCAGAAAATTCATACATGCTTCTCCTGACAGCATGAGTTATCAGCCTTGAATGCAAGTGTGCTTAATTAGTTATCACTCTTACCTATAAACAAAAGCATGAGCCAATCACAATGACATACCTGCCTGCAAATAAAGCAAGAAACCAAGACGAAGTAAAATAACCTTTCCATGAGCTATCTTGAAAAAGTAATCAGATCCAACATATCTGTATGCCACTTCATGGTGTTAGTGTATCCACTAGGCAAACATACTGTCCAGCAAATGAAAAAGAAAATCAAGACTGCCTAATGGATGTCACTAATATAAATTAAATGAACACTAGAACAAGCTGTTCTGGCTCGAATGCAACCAAAAAAGAGATTCCATAAGTTGTAGTGGAAGAAGTGAGGCCATTCACACCAATATCAGAACAAGACAAGCTCATTCAGGTGTTCTGAGGCTCTTGTTATACTAAATACAAGAATAAGCCTTTAAAACCAAGATCTCTTGCTCCACATACAGAAGAAAATGGAGGATTTTAAAAGTAGTCTTAAAACAGAATAAAATTTCTTTGCTAGTACATCAGGCTGTACTAGCAACATTACTTCAAATGCACCAGACATCCCATCTGAAGAAAACCATTCAAAAAAATCAGACTTGCATTGAAGAATTTAAACCCTCAGACCTTACTGAAAGGTAATTTCCTTCCAAAACTGAAATTACCTGCTTGCTCTTCATCAACCTCCATTGGAACAACAGCCTGGCTGTGGGCAGGGACCTCATTCTGGCCTTGCACCACAGCCACCCCTTCTTCCTGCACCACCTCCTCCATCTCATTCAGTGCTGAAAAGATTGAGATAAGGTCAAGAGCAGAAAACGTAAGGAACAGAGCCCATAAGCACAGCAGAAATTCAACTGGTACCCGCAGAGACATCAAAGAAACACCAAGAAATAAGTAACAGCTGCCTTGATTCCTTCAAGGAGTTCTCACAGACTTGTTCTACATCTTCTCTTTAGCTAAGGACTCAGTCTAACTTCTGAGTTTATTTCTCTGAAAGTTTCCACTCTTCAAAATCCTTGTTCTACTGCAGTAAGCAGTATATCCAGGATTTCCGTATTCATTCCTTCAAATGACTTTGCTAGGAAAGCTTAAAAATATACCAGATACTGTGATACACTCCCAGTCCCAACCAGACAGGCCTAGAAAATCGCTTCCACAGATCAGTATCATATTGAAACTTTAAATTGGTAACACCTGTACTACAGTAAGTCATTGATGAAAAGTGTAATACGACTGTATTAGCTATGAGATAAAATACAAACACACTTTTATCATGCATACAGATATCAGAGATGTACAAGTCTTAAATGTATTTTCATATCTTCTCTAGGACCCTATGTGAATGGCAATGCCGAATAAAAGCATTCCCTGTAAAGGTTCACTGAGATCAGCGGTTACCCTCAGCTGCGATTTGCTGCTCTTCAGCCTGCCCATCTTGCCGCAGCTCGTTCTCCTCATTCTGGTCGTTTGGGTGTTGGTGATTGTTGTGGTGGATATTGGGATTATTGTTATTCTGGTGGTTATTGTTGTTGTCATTGTCATTGTTTGAGTTCTGATTACTGACCAGGGCAGACGAGACACCGATCCCTGTGCCTGCACTTAGGCCCACACGAGCACAGCCCTGAAACAAACAACAACTATATGAATTTGGAAATAGCGATATATACCTCTGCAATATATCCTAATGACAGCAAAAGCAGCATTGTGTCAGTATTATCTAGGATGGCAGAACAACAAAGGCCCTATTTCTAACATTTGCTTATGCTATGCATTGCAGAGGTCCATCCAAGTTTGGCAA